TTTCTCAAAAGAAGCTATGGCAATTGTTATTCAAGTTCCAATGCTTTACGAACAACTGTTGTTCACAGTACAAGATATTAATTAATCTGGCATTATAACAGGAGTATTAAATTTGGAACCATACAAGGAAATGTATTTTTTGCAGATACTTAATTACTTTGGGGGTTTTGCTTTCAATCAAGAATATTAAAACAAAACAGAAACATTGAAAAAAAAATTCCAATACATTTTCTTAAGAAATATAAAAATTGTGTCTGGGAAATATTTAAATGATGATTTTATTCCTTTATATACGCAAATACGTACTTTACTCGTTAAATACATTATTAAATATGTCTTTGACATTCTGAAAAGAACATTATTTAAATAATGTAACTAAAAAGTGGTAAAATGCGTTGGATGTTGTGTAAATAGTCCCTTGAAAATCACTCTTTTACAGAATGGTAAACAGAATTAAATTCATGATTCATTCATTTGGTAATTGATTTTTTTATTTAGTAATTTGAATACTGTTCATTATCTCCATTAATTTCATTTATTCATTCTGAAATTCGATAATAACATGATAGCAATCATATAAGATATAATATTATATATGTACACTACTACAGTCCTTATTTTTACTGTCCAATATATACAGGTTTTTAATGCCAAATTGACATGATTTTTAGGATAACCTTCATGTAAGTTCTCAAGGAAAGAAGTATAATTTTGCTGTAAGACAATGCGCAGGAATGAATTAACCAAGGCCAACTTGATTTTAAGAATGATTCTCGCTACTGTCTCAAATATTGAAATAATTGTTCATGTGATATCTATTAATCAACAATTAAGTACAAACAGATATTTGTCACTTTATGAACTAAATACATAAATAAACTAAAAACTGCCTAAACAACAAAAAGATTGATTTAACCCTATAGCTGCAGGAAGGACATATATGTTTGCTGGCTCTGACAGGGACAAAAGTGAATCATAAATGTTGAGTTAATTCTCTCTATTTTCATTTAGGTTTATTTTTTATTATTAAATCAAAAAAAAAAATAAAAAGCATTTTCCTTTTCATATAAGTGAAATATAACAAATTTATCTAAAATTGATTACATTACATCTATTTGTTATGCATTAAGTTAGTTTTAAAAAGTGTAAAATAACATATTATTTTATATTATTTTTCCTGTGAAGCTTAAATAAACGGCAAGTACACTTTTTTGAAAGCTTTTTTTTAAAAGATCTATCAAGTTAAAATTTTGGTTTTACCAAATCAAATTAAAAAGTCCATTCCATTAAAAGACAAAACAACCTTTATAAATTTTTTTTTATGTAAATTCAGGATTTCTAATTAAAGCTTCCAAATTGATATTCATCAACTAAGATTTGCTAAAGGAAGTGTTCACACGATAATGAACTGTCAACTTTATACCTAAATATGAACACAAAATCACGTGGCGTATAAAACCATAATTTTTCTTATAAAAGCATTGACCTTCATTTTTCGTCCCACACGATCACAATGGCAGTGTTGGGCCTGTTAGTTTGCCTCTGTTTGCTGTTTATAGAAACAGTAGTCGGGGTAGGCTATTTAGGTGTAAGGCCTCCCTCACAAAACAAATGCCATTACGAGAAGATCGAGGATGCACATTTTAGTTACAAAAGAGACGATTTCTGCGAGGGTAAGATTAAAAACACTTTTTAATAAATCATTTTAGATGATTTCCGTAGGAGCAAATTTAATGTGTTTTTTTTTTCAACAAAAAAAACATGGCATTATTTTTTTCAACAGTAAAACTGGTAAATTTATTAAGATGAAAAACTGATAAATACCCGAACTTTTGTTGAAATTAAATTTGTCAAATGTATATATGTTCATCAAACTGTCGATATCGAATTCTTGCGATATGAGTTATGTATAATTATTTAAATTCAACATATTTTTCAAATGTCTTTAATTTTCTTTTTTAATATTTATCTAAATGTGTTTATCCTTTATTTAAATGCTGTTGTATGGCGTTTGATGGTTTTGTTCAGTGAAAGATGTGATATAAAAATTCAGGACAGAAAAAAACATATTCAAGTAATAAAACCAATGTCTTAGATCCTAAAAATGCAAAAACAAGCACGTTCCTTAAAGCAGCCTTTCCTCCTCAAGATGACGTCAAAGATATTTAGTGTAATTTTTTTTTTACTTTTATATAATAAATTAAAGCTTGAATATAGATCACATTATACGTGATTAAAGTTACCTTGATCTGCGAAACAAATCTTACTGTTACCTTTTTTAATTTATTGAATTTAAATTTCATGTATGTGAATTGATATATTCAGGACCCTATGAATGGTGTAACGTGCATGATTGTTGGGCAACCTGTGGCTCCAACGAAAGACAATCCCCGATCAACATAGAAACAAGGAAAACCAAATCTTTAGCGCATTATCGAGGAGACGTCCATCTAAAGGGTTGTGATAGGAGAGTGAAAGCCAAAATCTACAATAACGGTGAGAAAGTGTTGGAATTTTTCATCTGTACATGTAAATGTACTTAAGTATTCTCTTCAGTAGGCGAAAACATATCAATGTTAAGTACACATTAAGAGCAACTGATAGCCTTGGGCTAGTCCGATTTATCAAAGAATTTTGGTGCATGCATCGTTTTCGTTTGATTATTTTTTTTTCAAGAACACCGAAAATCATATAATGGGGTAAATGGTCTTATTATTTTTACGATATGCATTGTAGGTCTAAATTTTCCAGTTAACTGGAGCATCTTGTTTTTCTTTAATACATCTTGTTATTCTTTAATACATTTATTTCATATGATTCTTAAAAACACCTCTCACACAACAAATTACAAAAAGGTACACATACAGATCAAATTTATTTTAAAAATGACCAAGAAAAACGCATTAAGTTAAATATCAAGAAAAATTTTCAGCACCAACTAACATGTAAAGGTAAAAAAATAAATACAAATAATAGGATTTTTTTTCTTTAAAAGGCCATTCACCCCATTTTGATGTGAAAGAAGATGATCAGGATAAAATAACCCTTACCCACGTTCCCTTCAGAAAACATAGAACATACAATTTTGCACAGCTGCATATTCATGTTGGCCGTCAAAGGAATAAAGGTTCAGAACATTCCATAAACGACAAATTTTATCCTATGGAGGTATGTTTTTAATTAAGAAAATAAACATTTTTTTTTTAATTCTAAAAGGTTGTTTAAAATCTTATTTTAAAAAGTAAAATTAATGTAATTGTTGACTATGGTATAAAGAATTTTATTATACAATTGAGCATTATTAATACGCAATAGAAACATGATCTTTTCTTAATCTAACCAACTAGATACTTTATGAAGAAGTGGAAAATGTTATCTTTGTCGAAAATGCAGAAAATTATAAAAACACAGAAAGGAATCTTTACCCCCTTTTTATGAATTTCAAAAAGCGATGTTACTAATTGCAGGCCCATATGGTGTTTTACGACGCAGAGTATCAAAATGTAACATATGCAAAATTTAGACCAGAAGGTTTGGTAGTTCTTGGCGTTATGATAAATGTAAGTACATTTCTTAGTATGGGAGATTCATTATAAATATAATTTACTGAATCCGATCATAGACGATAAATAGCCCCTAACTAATAAGAGAGAAAAACTAAATGCAACTTATATAGTTTTGGGTGGAATTTTTTTAAGTCTTGATTTAAAATGAGTATAAAAAAATCTGTTGAATTTTTAGAATTAATAATCATCGCCGTTTTAAGGTACAAAGAGATGACGACGATGATGATGAAGATTACGAGGAAGAATATGAAGAAGAGAGGGAAGAGGAAAACGGCCATAGTAGAAACAACGAAGACGTATGTAACTTTACTGAAAAGGTTTTAAAAGGATCACCGAAACAAACCCACTTGTGGAAAGAAAAACGCATTAGGAAATTTTATCCATAGATGATGTGAAATATTTTTAGATTTTTTTCTTCTATTCTATCAACCGACTAGTACTAGGTGCATTTACTTGCAGGACACTACACGTAGCTTTTGCTAATTATCACGTGCTTTTATAGGGGTATTATCTCATAATTAACAAGTCATCCTTGCATGATACATAAAATCTGCCTCCTTTTTTGAAGATTTGCGACAACGACAATGATGAAGACTACGAACAGTATTATAACAGAAGATGCTACAAAGGGGTAAAGTATAAAACTATAATAATAAAGAACATGTTTTCCATCGAACACCATTTGTTTTATAAGAGCTGGTCGAGTTATACATTTCTGGATAAAAAACAACTTGTCAGAAAATTGAATTTACGGAAAAAACGATCAAATTAAAAAAGGGAAGATTTCGAAATATCTGGACTAGACAAGTTATTATTTTCTTACTAGGAACCTATCCATCATGAGTAAAACATCCCGATTCATTTTTGAAGTTTTTCTGTTATCTTTGCCTGCTAACAGGCTCAAAATGGGTCGATATTTTTTTCATTAAAGTCTCTTTTCCATGCAGCATCATCGTTGTAAAGTGAGGTTTGCTAGAACACTGAGTGATATAATGGAGAAATACTACAAATTGATAAAAGATTATAAGGGTGAGGAATTTGAAACGGGAGAACGCCGAACTAGTAAGTATTAATGTAGAAGTTACGAATGCACCTGACACAATAAAAAAAATAATTAGCTCTAATATTCCAAAACTCTTTTTTTTTCTGGAAAAACGTTGTGCATAAGGATTTTAATGCCTAGTCTTCTGGTGGTTTGTAATATTTTGCATTTGCGTTTTTATTTTTACAAAGCATGAATAAATGAGTCTTCTCGTGTCATGTGAAAAGAAAAATTAGACTCTCGTAAATATCATGTATTACACGTTTCTTAGCTATCTACATCGATATAAAAGAAATGTAAAACATATTATATCACGTGATTGAATCAAGTATTATATACAATATCTTAAATTGTAGAACCTCCATGTCATCCAAAACAACTTACCCAAGACTTCATAAAGGAGAATTGTATAAAGAACGTGAATGATTCACACAAAAATATCTCAGTACCTGTATGTGGAATATCACCTCTAGACGTCCTCCCCTACGACCGTAGATTTTATACATATAAGGGATCTTTAACCACGCCCCCATGTTATGAAACCGTACAGTGGATAGTTTACAAATGTCCAATTAAAGTCACTCGTAAGGTAGGTAAACACAAATACCCAGAATTGTCTACTTTATTAAAGAGCCTACAGTACTAATCACAGCAATAAGGAATTGGAATTAAGCTTTTAAATAGATACATGTATAGCAGTATTTCATATTTTATAAAGTCAAAAACATTCCTTTTTCAGGCGTTTAATGCATTGCGAGAAGTTCGGGATTCGCACCATCATCCTCTTTCTAAGCTGGGAGTAAGAAGACCACTCCAGGTAATAGTTTGATATCATACAGTTTTTATCAAGAGAGCAGCAGTCCAGTTGCATGTAAAAATTATTGTATACTTTCATTTATATTTGAAAAAATATATAAGAGGACTAAATTAACATTTATCAATTAGAAGTATTCATTTTCATTGATGAATTGTGGCAAAATCTGACGCTTTTGAAATTTATATCTCAGTAATTGAAAAAGTTCAAATTTAAGAACATTGTGTTCAAATTTCAATAAATAGATGCTAGTAGCAATATTTAAACTTATTTTTTTTTTTTTTTTAGGTAAACAAATATCATGTGTACAGAAATTATTAGAAAAAATAGGAGCAAGTGGACGACAACAGTCCATGCTATATGATGAAAATAACACTTTTAAGTTATACTGGAAAGAGCTTGCAATATGTCCATGGTAATGCTTGCAATAATGCATTCTCAAGTACTCTTTTAGAATTTTAAGAAATTACTGTATTGCCTATTGTGTATATTGTTTGTTTAAACAAATGTCTATTTTCATTGAATATGTTGTTTTCTTTTTTTTTTATTCATTGTTCTTTTTTCTTAACTTTACGTACTTTTGCAAGATCTTTGAGATGTATATAATTGCCAATTTCAGACATTTACATTCATTTTTTTTTATTTCTACTTGAACATAAATAACATAGTGAGATTGCCAGAATGAATTTGTTCTCCTCCTTCACATGTTTTACTCGTTGCTTAATCCAAGTTTACTTTGAATTTCTCAGTAAATATTTTTTGTAGCCCCTCCTTTTCCTAATGCCATTAATTTCAATGATAAAGCTACAATGATATTGATATTGCAATACAATAAGAATTTCGAGTGATGAAAATTATCAGAGTTTGTCTTGATTTCAAAGAATAAGGTACAGTTTCAATACAAATTAAGCACTGTATTTTGCTAAAATATGACAGTGATATAAGAAATCAAAAGTCATCCTTTCTGATTCATAGGAATTCCATGCAGTAAGAATTCACAAATCGTGTTCCTCATATGAACTCCTAAATGCTTCTTTTGATGTCATTAACTTGAGCATTTTCCCGTATTTTCTTAAAAAGTTGCAGAAGACATCAATTTTCTTTCAGAAAACATACTCTGCCAGGGTCGCCCACAAAGATTTTGAGATATATGATTTTTCAAAGCAGTTTACATACTTTATAAAAAAACTGGAGTGGGCGACGGTAGCAGACACTATTTTCTAAAGGAAAATAAGTACAGAAATGAGTCATTCTGGGGCTTTTTTTGCATTAAACTTAGAAATGTACCAAATTACTGACGTCATAATTCCATAACGGTCCTCCTTCATGTCATATTCTTTAATGATTTATCATATCCATCTACTCAACTCTTGTTAAACCCAATTTCATTATAGGATTAAACGTTCTTTTTTCAGAATTTATCAATTTGTAAACTTATGCCTTTTTACTCACAAACTGAATAAAAGTACGAAGCACTTTTATTTCACTTTGAGGCCTCCATACAATTAGTTATTTATGTACCGCGTGGGAATATTTATGCCGTAATGAAACGTAATCGAGATGAATATCGATGAAACTCAGTTTTAATTGTCATAACAATCAATAAATAAACTTATAAAAACTCACCGAATGTTGTTTAAGTCAACAAATATCGTAAATAAGAGTATACTGCAGAATAAATCGTCCTTGACCATGGTCATGTTGACATTAACGACAACGCTCACTGCGAAAGTTGCAGACCGAAGACGCCCTCAATTTTCTCTGTTGTGTTCAAAGATTGGGGAAGAATATAGGCATAGGATGTAAAAATATGAATTTGATGCTTATAAGGCAGGGGTCTGAGTACGTTTCTTTTCCCGGTCACGTACAGCGATACCAACTGAGCTCATTTGCTTCGTATTAGATCGAACTTCGAGCGATCTTATGATCCGACAGTGACATAAACGTAATATTGTCGTCTTTCAGTCCTGTTTCACAGTTTGTCGACAGGTTTGTTTCATTTAATTATAAGTTTCTTGTAATCAAAATTTAGCTGAAACACACTAGAAGTAACTGTTTTATTTGCTTTTACAATAGCCTAGAAGCTTGGTCAAGAAAGTAGTTCGGATTGAAAAATTTTCAATGTGTAAATTTTTTCTTGAAGTTGCTCTCGTCCAATCAAAACACAGAGGAATCAATAAATAAAGTTAAGATTGGAATTATAAGTTTTTAAGAACATTAAATTTTAGGGCACAATAAAGCCCAAACTGTAACCGTACCTTCTTCTTTACTTAACAACTTCGCCTTTAAAAAATATAAAACATATATGTTATACTCATATGTGTGTAATGAAATTAAACATCAATAATTATCATATAGAGAGATTATAATTTAAGGAAGATGCTGAAACAATAATAATAGAGCAAATGATC